TAGTCTACAGTATCTGTAGCAACTCTGTGATAATGTTTCATAAATATTGACCGACTTTCTAATGACTTCTACTTAGGTCCATTTTAACTCTGAACACTTGACCCATCTGCAATTATAGCTCCCTTTAATCATCACTGGTTCACATTCCCACTGCGTTGGCAAAAAAAGCGAGGGCTGCCTTAGACAAGAGTTTCTGTAAAGGCTGTGAAATCAATACCCTCTTGTTTCAATTTCATGCACTGACAGAATCCTGCTAGGTTTGTTGCTTAGTCCAATGATATTTTGCCCAGCTTCGCAATGTGCCCTTCAAGCTTACAGTTTAGCTCTCAAATCAGACCAAGTTTCCAGCTGCTTTCTGGGCTGGGTGAGAGGGAGTGATGATCACACTTTACCTTGTAGAATGTATCCGTCAGGGAACCGGACTCGCAGCAAGGTATAATTGTATTTCCGCATTTCCCTTTGCTCTCCTTTCTCCCGCATAGCCTTTGTCCTCAGCATAGAGGCCTTCTCCACTGCTTCCGTCCTTCAGAGAGAAGACAATTTCAACATAACATGGAACAGGAGGGGAAAAAGGAACAAGATCTTTCTCAACCAGAACACTACACACGTGACCAGAAGCCTCCTCTCCCTTCTTAGATAGGATGCCCCTTTACATGGAGTGCTTAGGCCTGTAGGCCACTCACCGGAGCCTCTGCTCCCGTTTTAGCTCCTCTGCGGTGAGGCTGTAGAAGTCATTTGGCAGTTCAAATTGGGCAGCTTGAGGGGAAGGCTTGAATATACAGAGCTGGCGATCCAGCTGGGCCCTCACTGGCTCAGAGTTCAGGAGCTGGTCCTTGTAGTCCTTGAGGTTCTCCAACTTAGTCAAAGCTTCCTCCTTTAACACATAGTATTCTTCTGTGGTCTCTACAAGCACAGAAGTTTGGCATTTTAGTCCCTTGTTCCCTCAGAGCTGCACAGATGTAACGTATGAAACAACCTACTGTGACATAATGGCTAAGGATCCCCAGGACAGACCACCCTCAGAAGCAGGCAAGCTGCAGGCTTGGGGAGTGTAGTTACAGGGACAGTTTTACAAAGTTTACTGCCATGTTCATCTCCCCAAGGAAGTCCTGCCATTACTCAGCAGAAGCTGACCCCAACTTCAAACAGAATACACTTGGGTTTCTTGCCTTGTCCTGGAACAGGCAGGGCTTTCTTCTTAAACCCAATGGCCTGGAAAAAGTTGTGCACACCTTCCAGATTATTTATCCTTTCCTAAAAGAAAAAGGGAGAGTCAGATTCAGTTTGCTCCAGAGTAGGAATTTCCCAGTGTTGCAAAAGGAGGTGTCTTAATCTCACCTGAAACACTTTGTTCTGCAGCTTGATTTTTTGGTACTTCTCTTCCTCTGGATGGAGGTGGATGTTATCTAGGTATCTGTAGAAGACACAACCAACACACTTCACTCACTACAGTGGGTCTGGCCTCATGCAATCACGGTCAACTCCTGGGTGCTGTCTGGTGCAATGATCAAGATTTGAAGTATATTATTTTCTCTGCTAAAACACAGAGGAGAAGGGGAAGCTTGCACTACCCAGGTTGCTAAGTCCCAAGACAAAAGTTGTTTCTTAACATGTGAAAGATACCCCTTACTCTACAAATGGGTCACTAATTTCCTCTACCACCTTCCACAAGACAAATTTTTGGACCTTCCCCACTGGAAAGGCATTTAAATGCACAGGGCATAAGTATGAAACATAAGCCCCTTGTGAATGGGGAATGTCTGCTACCTACTGGGCTTGCTTGCAGGCCCACAGCACTCTGTACACACAGCTGTGCCACTGCCAGTTAAAGCCATGCTGCATCTGTGTGCATTTACAGGCATCCAGATGTTTTCCCTCCCACTGCTGACTTGGCACCTAGTTTGGAAGTGAAGCCTTGCTCTTCACAGATTAATCTGGCAGAGGGTTCATTTTTCAGACAGACAGACATTCCACCTTGGGGGACTGAGTTGCATGAATGAGACAACACCTCCAGGACCTGGACAGTCTTCCACCCTCATACAAGTTTGGTTTCTTTGAATTCCTGTACTCCAGAAAATCTACAGCTATTCAGTGGAAGAGACCTTGCTGTTGAGAGACATTTCCAAGTTTTTGGCTTTGCTTTTCTTTTGGGCATTATCTAGAACACCCATTTCCCCAGTAATCTTGCAGGGGTTTCATCCAAGTCCTCTTATCTAGTGACACAACAGATTTAAGGCAGGAGACTGGTGTGCTCAGCACTGCACAGTGCATTCGTGCCACTTACTTCGCGATGGTCTCAACACCAAGCTTCACTTTCTCTCGGTCTCTGTTGAAGGTGTGAATCTCCATGATCGAGGCAGCCACTGGGTCTTTAGAGGAATGCTAGAGGAGAAGGAGGAGGACGTAATTTAGTTGCATAAGAGGCACTGGATGCCACATAGATCTATATAACCAAAAAGTCAGACTGACCAGTGTTCTGGAGACTTATGGTAGAAGGAGTTGGGGTAGGTGCTTGTTAACTGTGTTAGTTTACAGTCCTTTAAGACAATACAGTACTGGGGGAGAAAGCAGAGACACAGGAGGCCTGTAATACCACAAGAACATAGTGGAGAAGCAGCTATGCTCTACACAACTCCTTAAGCCCAGTCATGCCTATGGATCCAGCTGAAAACAGCCTCCCAGGGCACATTTCTAACGGGTTAAGCTACCTCTGGGTATCCAGAGCAGAGAGCAACTTAAGTGGCAGGGCAGGAGGTTGGAGGAAGCCTGTGCTTAGCCGAGGACCCACTTACTGAAAGGATGGCCTCTCTGATGTGTGCTTCCCGCTTGTCTTTCTTTACAGTGGCCCCAGTTAGAGGGCAAATGAAATAGACCCCAGACACTGACAGTCCAGCACATTCTTCCTCTTCTGCAGCCTCAGGGTCCTGAGAAAGAGCAGAAATCAGATGTTGGCTCAAAGGAAGAAAACATTTATAATTGTCTCCCTGGCACATGGCTCCCCGGTGAATTTAGCTCAGGAAACATTTGCAGAGGTGGAACCACGGACTGTCTGAGGTGTTCAGTGCAACACAGCTGGCTAATGGAGCCAGCACAGAGATTACCCCTGTTAACAGGACAGAAGGAAGGTTTCAAGGGACAGCGCAACAATTTGAAGAGATAATGAGCTGCTATTGCTCCCCATAAAAACAGGGAATAGAACATTAACAGTCATCTGAGGTTTGCAGAGCATTCATAACCGAAAGGCTAAATGCCAACAGGCCACTGGTCAGTCAGAGGAGCAGCTCCCAGCAGCAGAGATCAGGAGCAGTCAGCACTTCTGGCAAGCCCCTCTGCTCCAGGGTTATTAAAGAAGGGAATTCAGGTTTTATAGATGAGTTCGCAAGACTGAACTACAGGAAGAGTTGCTGCTTCGACTTTAATCATGTGCCTCTGAGAGTACTTCCAATTGCTGAGGCAGAGGGCCAGATTCTGACACACTTACCCATGCCAAGCAACACTGCACTCCCTTACTAGTCCTGCTGACTTCAACAAGCTATTTTTGGTGTAAAGCAATCTTATTATGGGTGTGTAAATCCTGCCCAAAGCCAATCAATACCTAATGACAAGAACGTACAACTCCTCCATGCACCTGCAAAACACTACAGTGTCTGGCCAAGGAGTTCTAAAAAATTAGGAAGGGGGAAAAAAGCTGTAAGTCTCCTTGTCCAGGTGGGTGAGATCTCAGAAGAGACATTAAGGTATGCATGGAGGGGGGTTTCCACCTCTGACAACTAGTTTCTCTAGAGTTCCAAAGCAGACTCAAATCGACAAGCCGACGGGCTGGCATTCATTTCCCAAGAAGAGACTCAGGCTTGGAGGATTCTGGCGTACCCCAGAGAGCAAATACCTGAATGACCTGAACAGCAGCATCTCCTCCTACCTTATGATGTGGGGAGGGTCCGCTCTCATATGCGGCAGCTTCAGCCATTAGCTCCTTCCTCACTGGAAAGAGAGGAATCCAAGTTACAACAGCAGGTGCAGCAAAATGATGTTAACTGGATAGGACTGGGGGAGGGAAGCAGCATCTCCTCTGGTATCTCACTGCTGGCAGCCGTCAGCAGCTGATGCTGTACGTGAATGTGAACCCTCCCACACCCAAACTGCACTTCACTTGTGCCAAGCTGTCACTGAGGTGCAAAGGTCCAGAAATGTCGCCAGAACTGAGGGCTGTGCTCTTCGTGCAAACTGAGCTAGATATACAAGCAGGCCTCTTCCATGTCCCACTCAGACAAGCCAAGTGTAGGGCCAGTGCACCAGTGAACATGCCTCCTGCAAATGGGCACTCATCTCACACTTCTCTCACAAGCCTGCCGGCCCTACACCCAGAAGAGAGGGGCATCTGCTGCTACACCATTCTCACCCTGACTCTTAATGACATCTTGGGACGAAGAGACCCGAGGCTTGGGCTTCTGCTCCAGCCTGGCCACGGCGGCAGCAGCTGCCATCTGAGCTTCACTGGTAGGCCCATGGCGAGGTTTGGTCTCAACTTTTGACTTTTCTTGATGGACCCTTTCCCTGAGGGATAACAGAAAGGCACAATTAAATGAACAGCTGTCAGCAAGGCAGCGTCCTCAATGAGGTCAGCTGAAAGCAGATAAACCAGTGATTAGAGCAGGATTATGATCATCTTCATTTCAATTAAAGGCACAGATTAGACTTTACTTCTTTCCCCCTTGCCCATCACCAAGACCATAAACTACTAAAAACTGTTTAAAGCAAAACTGGATTTTTCCACCATCTGATATTTTTATTTTTTGGTCAAAAGAGGGAGACCAGACAGCTGTTTTCTGAATGTCCCGCTGCAGCACTGGGTTGTTGTGCAGGGATTTCAAGCAGGAGGCAGCTTGCTTCCAAGTGACCTCACCCTGCAACTGAGCAGTTGCAATTAAGATCACTGAAATCAGATCCCTGGTTTTTGTGATGAGCACCTGCAATTTCAACTGACTTTAAAGGAAGCTATGGGCTCCTAGGTGGACAATCTACATGAATTATGCTAAATCAGGATTATAAAGGTAAACTACAGATGGGGGGGGGGGAAAATATACCTTTTTTCTTGCATATAAAGTCCTTAAAGGCAACAGCACACAAATCAAAAAGATTTAACAAGTAACACTAATATTAGAAATTCATCTCATATATTCCACAAGATGCTATGAAAGACAAAACCAACGTCAAGGAAGTGAGAGATTCCCCATATCCAAACTCAGTCCATTTAATTCAAACATCCTGGAAAAGGTTTTTTGTCATGCAGTTGACTCCAGTGCCTTTCATGCTGTTCTTAACCAATACAAAGTCATCCGAGACATCGTCAGCAAAACCAAAGACAATAGTTAGGAAAGAGTTTCTTATTTATACAGATAAGAAAGAGCAGACCCATTTCTCTTAAGGATATTCTCTCCTAACTCCCACAGATACAGGGGGAGAATGGTGGTTCTCCCAACTCTTGACACCACAGAGGGAAGCCTTGATCACTGTCCTACCAACAACAAGCAGAGAATATTGATAGGAAGAAAGTGATAGATGCTGCTAGTGCTCTGCAGGACAACACGCATTTAGCTGTAACATCCCTCCCCACCCCTGCAGGACAACAAGCAATGTGCCACACAAGACAGCTGCAGAACAGGTCTGGACTGGGGTCACCTGCATCCACCCAACAATGATACAACAACTTTGGAAAGGTCACAGAGAAACCAGGCAGCCCGGCCAGGCAGCACAGCCTTTGGGCAGCTTGGGAGGAGCCTGGTTTGTTTGGCGATACGTGTTACTGGATCAAACACAGACCTGGGAGGGACTGGT